CACTAATTGAACTCAAGAAAACTGCAAGTCAATAAAAACCTGATTGGATCAAATGCAACCAATGAACAACAGGTAAAAATATCTCCTCATAGACTCATAACATACAACTAAAACATCATTTAAACCATTTGAAATCTTCCAAATGAACAAAGAAACATCAACTTTACAGCTTCTGAACTCTGAGCCGTCCTGAAGAAGAACCTTCCAGGTGAGCAGAGGAAGAGTGTTCAGGTGTTCTTACCTTCTGAAGGACGATGAGGAAKATGAAGGCTGATGGTAGATGTGTCTGTGTGAGCTGGATGCTGCTCTTCATCCTTTTATTGCCTCCATGGAGASGARGAGGAGGAGTCCACTGTGGAGACGTCTGAGGTTAAGGTGTGGCTCATGGGACACACCCAATTAAAAAACAAAATAATTACATGTTTATTGTGAAACATTATGTTTTAATTGCATAAATTCATAACTGAAGGTGTGACACAAACTTAATGTCTGCTGTGGAATGCACCAGAACCAGAAACGTGATTAAACTGAAAGCTTTAATGAATGCAGGTCATAATTATATCAGACTTGTCCTCAGATCAAATGTTCAGATCAGTGACTCACAAACTTTTCAGCTGTTGAGCCACAAATTCAAAGTCTCAGAGACTTGTGAGCCCGACTATTTTTTTAAACTTTTATTTAATCAGACAAAACATTAAGAAGAACTTTATATTTTGCAATGTCAGCCTGGAAGGTACCAGAGACACCTATAAGGAAAAGATAAAAGAAAAAACAAAACATCATGCAAACAACATATCCAAATAACATAGAAAATAAATCACAAAAGATATAACATATACAAAATAAATAAAAACAAAAACATATAGCATAAAAACATAGCACAAAGTGTACTCAATTTCATAAAACATATGGCTAGCATTGACAGGTYAGAGATGGTGGATGAAGCTCATGTAAAGCTGATTTAAACTGACCTRYAKGTAAGAGTAACTGTAGTTTCAGATCACTTTGCACRTTATTCCATGTGAAAGGGGCTGCATAGCTAAATGTGTGCTTCCCAGAGTTTGTTCYGATCYTRRGRACTGACAACAGGTACATGTTTTGTGATCGAAGGCCCTGCCTACCACACTCCTTCCTCTTCAGAGACCCACACAGACAAATGGGTAAAAGAACAAGAATTGCCTTAAAGATTAAACACTGCCAGTGAATAAGACACCTGACAGCCAATGGAAACCAACCAGTCAGAGACGGTAGGGTACAATGATGAGTTGAGAACTGACTACCAGTCATGAACCTTAATGATCCATGGTAGGCTGTGTCCAGGAGGTGAAGTGAATGTATCGGGGCATTCATATAAATTAAATCACCAAAATCCAAAATGGGAAGGAAGATGGCAGTGATGAGCCGCTTCCTAACGGCCAGGGAGAAGCAAAGTTTATTCCTATAAAGGAAGCCCAATTGCATCTTCAATTTTTTAAATAAGGAAACAATGTGCATGGCAAAAGAAAGGTTACTGTCGATAATAATTCCCAGATATTTGTAAGAGACCACCTCCTCAACGGGGGTACCATCAAATGTGGTAAGAAATGAGGCCACTGGCGGGATCTTCTTCCTACCAGAAAACAGCGTGGACTTTGTTTTACCTACATTTAAAACCAGATTCATTTGAAAGAGTTGGGATTGAATAAAATCAAATGCTGACTGCAAATTTTTAAAGACCAAATCAACTGTCTCAGCAGAGCAATAGAGGATTATATCAT